ACAACAGGACTGAAAGTAAAAGACAAGATGCTTTGTACAACTTATTGCAATAGCACAAACTTATCCCACTAGAAAATTAAAGATAGTTTATTAATAGAAGACAGAGAAACAAAACCAACCAAAACACCCCAAACCAAACCTGCCTCCCCCCCCCAAAAAAAAAAACCAAAACCAAAACCTCCAAAACCAAACCTCTATATGCAAAATATCATGATTTAGGAAAATTTTTCCCACAATAACAATTAGAAGATAATTAGACTAATCTAGTTTGGGAGGTAGAGCTGATTATTTTGGTACCATAAGGAATCTCTTTTGTTGGAAGTTTTGGACAAATCAGAACATCTATTCTGATAATCTTAGGGACAGCTGACAAGAAAAATAATTCTCAAGTTCCCTCAAGGACTTACATCTGTAACTTAATGACAGGGAGGAGGGGAAAAATACACACACACCCAATTCTATGTCTCTTGAGAAAAAGCAACCAACTTCCAAACAGCCAGGCTCCTACGATAGTTACAAAAAAATTATTACGAAACGTGATTTGAATATCCATTATTCGATTAAAAATACCCAGTCAAGTGTTTCATTTCCAGCAGAGGGCAGCGCACAACCAGCAACCACCCATCGAGAATTAAACCGAAAGTTTCATTGTGACCAAAAATTACATTCATTTAACATTAGATTGGCTGTAACAGAATTTTTTATGTCTGAATCACACAGCTTACAAACAAGAGGCAACTGCTGTGAAATGTTTGTGAAGCTTCGGTTCGTTCCTGCTATGCAGAGAAACATAAAAAAAGAGGCAATGTCTCTGACATCACTGATGATCTTTGAGTCAGATGACAAATCCGTAGTGACAGAGATGTGTAAAGTCCATGTTGGCCACATGGGCATACTGTTTCTCTCCTCAAAAAAACCACATTCCATCTTAGATAACTGCACCTTTTGCGATACTGATGTCCTTGCTGCACTTGGAAAATGTGTGAAAAAGAAGTCCTTAAACCACCCTACAGACTCAAAAAGAACCTCCTGATCATGTGGCGCCTTCGTGTCAGGCATTCCTCCCAGCCCTGCTGCTTAATGCTGTCAGACAACGCAGAAACCCAACAAACTTTCTGCTCACAAGCCCCAGCTCGCATCCAACAGGCAAGTCTCTGCAGGATGTGATACACAGCAGAACAGCAATACGCTGGACTTGGCAAGTTTTCCAGTGAGGTGGGAATTTCTCTGATATATTTCCATGTCTAAAATAGGCTGCTTGCAAGGAAATTTCACTGTCATCAGGAAAAATTGTTTCTCAAACTGTGGCTACTTGTCATGCTGACACAGATTTTTCCTAAACTTACATACACACATATAAACATTACTTTTGACCACCCTCTTACCATAGTATCTTCAGCCAGTAGAACTGTGAGAGTCAAACACCCATACCAATATTGTATTGGCATCCACAATATTATGAATTTGTGCACTTAACTATACAAACTGAATTGATAAATCTCATAACCTGATCCAAGTTCCCTGAAGTTGACTCAAATCCACATAATACTGTCCTATCTTGCAAAGCTATAGATAATAATAACATACTGGAATGTCATCAGAATTTTATTTTAAGTTGCACTACCCTAATCCATGATGAATGACAGTAATTTCTATCAGTTTGCTTTTCTAACAAAATGAAGGAAGAGTAAAAACAGGGAAAAAATTAAGAGGCTGAGACAAACAAGAATCCTTTAAAAGAACTTCACAAGAAACTCTTTTCCTGCAGCTGGAACTTCCTTAAACCAGCAACAGTTTTTCCCAGTCTGAATCTAAGTATAAACTTCTCTCATGACAATGCTGAACAGTCATAAATTTTGCACATTTTCCACCAGTGGAATAAAATACAACTCCAAAACTTCAGGCCATAGTAATATTTATCAAGTCACTGCTGATACGTATTTCTGTAATTATTAAGCACTAGTTCCAGAGGAAATGCTTGAAAGATTTCCCTGACAGGAAGAGAGAAATCTCTTTTTTTTTTTCCTTTTCTTTTCACCCTGATATAACTTCAATGATTACAGCACAGATTTCTATAAAAAGATCCTAAAGTATTTACAGTGAATAGGAATGGGACAGAAAGCTATCTTTAGTTCACATGCATTTGATCAAAATGACTCACAAAAAGTTCTCTGACACACTCTAATCTGCCCCTGCTTCTTTCTCCCTTACTGCAGGAATCTGTTCTGTGGATGTGCAGACTCAGGGTGTGGGAAGAACCTGCAGAGGCTACCAATGGATCTATTATTTGGTTCATAAAACTTGTAAAAATCTCACAGAATGTACAACGTGCTATTGTGTCCCTGAATCTCTTTCATGAATTGGGTAGCAGCCTGACTCAAAGCAGTCTGGCCTGTTTTCACTTCTACCATGAAAGGGTTTTTTTTGAAAGAGCCATTTAACTGTGACCATGGTTTCAGCAGCACTGTGAATACAAAGGAAGAGTTGAAGCCATATGGACACTTCAGTATACTCAGACTCCAGCAAATCAGTACATTTTTCATCCCTCCCTAGAACTTGCATAATTAGCTCTCTTTATGCTGAATGAGCTAATACATCAACATTCAAGATGTATTAAACTGTCACTTGTGAGCAATGTGATTTAAAAAACTAGAAACCACAGTTCATATATAGAGAACATTCTCTTAAAAAAAATTATAACCACTATTTTCTGTCTTGTATCTTGACCAGAATAAAACAGCAAAAAAGTGAGTAGGATGATGAATGACACCAACAGCTCCTATCACATTCCAGAGAGCCTCAGGCAAGAGAGAGGTAAGAGACCAGGTGTAAAGTCTGTCCTGGGCTGCCCACACAGCACTTGGAAACAGGACTAGGGGCAGGAACAGCCTCTGAGCAACTGAAGCAGGGTCTGAAAGCCCAGCCTGATGCAGCCTTCGCCCAGTGTGTGTGGGTGGAGGTCCCAAGTGAGGCTGGCCAGGACATCTGAGAACAATTAGTGCCCTCAGGGCCCTGACACAGTACAAATTGCTTGGGACTGTAACTCTTGGGTAGCATTGCCATCAGCCAAACTACCCTAACACAACTTAAATTTGTGCCATATATTTCTTTCAAGATAATGCAATTCTTTCAAGGCAAATTAATCCAAAGTCCCTCTTCTCTTTCCAGCCTGAATAGCAACATGAGAGAAACTTGATTCAGTATTGATTCAGACTTAACAATTACCATGTACAATTAGTTCCAGTGTGAGTTTTTATGTAGGAGTGATACATCATACATGCTTCATACTCAAGTTTATGTGTTTTCATTCAGTAAATCAACACTTCTCCATTGAAAGACAACACTAACTATATTTTCCTGTGCACTAGAAAATAAAAATGTGCTGCTCAGAACTTCCATATCCTGAATGAGCAAAATATGACTCCCAATAGTGCTCCTGTCATATTCTCTCTTCTCTCCCTACCTCATTTTCATTTTAAGGTATTTTTTATCACTTAAGGAACATCTGTTAAAGCCTACCTGCTAGCTCAAACTATGTAATACAGACTACATACCAAATAGACTTGTAACTGGCAATGGTGGTATAAACATGCTGCAGAGAAGCTTGAGAATGTTGGTGTTCAGCAGTTTATACCTGCCACCATAATGTATTTGAGGATATGGAAAATGTATCAACATTAATATAATTGTTACTGTATAATAAGTTACAGGAAAAAATGAGCACATACTTGCTAAAACTGAAGCCAACAAAGGGAGTCCAAGATCCTGTTGGTATGAATTCACCCACAACTTTTACAGTTAAGGTTAACTGATTAAAAGAAAGTTAGATGTAACTGATGATAGACCTCCTTTATTTATGATTGACTGATTTCTGTGTAAGAATACATTTTTAGAAGCAGTTTTATTAGCAACCCAGACTTTTACAGACAAAAAATATTTTTGGGAGTTATAAGAAAGCAATTTCTGCATATTTTTCAAAGTTGTAGTTTGAGATTTCTTGTCTAGAATTCCTGTTATAAAACCACTGAACTAGCATCCAAACTCAAAGTTCACTAAAGGTAGGGATATAGAAAGGAAAAACTGAAAAAGAAAGGGGAAGAAAAGGGATTGGTAACCTTTGTATTCTCCTTCATACATCTCTTTTCCCCAGGCTTTCCTCCTCAACATCAAAGTTTTAATTACTAAGCTTAGCACCACTGCTATTGACAGGAGTCCAAGACAAGCTTCTACTAGGAAAGTTGAAAAGACCAGAAACCACATTTATAATACAGAACTTGTTGAAACAAGACAAGACACATATTGATGAACTGGCACATGAGACTTCTGCCTAACACTTAGTCACAGTATTAAAACTGTAACAGCATACTCAGTACAGCACAGTGCAAGACAGTAAATTAAATACAGCAATTAACATGTCCACCACTTCGTTGCCTCTGGCTTCCCCTCTTCCACAGTGCTCTTGAGAAGGCTTTTGACCTTCTCTTCCCTGCCATATCCCAACTTCAGGCTGGGATTGAGGCCAGGGACCTTGCAACACTGAACTACCTGTTCAGAGCAGAAATCCAGCAGCTGTTCTGACAGTCTCCTGTGGCAGCCACTTCTTGGACCAGAAGTGAATATTTATCTGTAATTTTAGTAAGTACAGTGCTAAAACCGTAAACCTAAAATTGACATTTTTATTATATTTTCAGATGTGTTTCTTTACTTCTCCAGAAATCCATAAGCAAAAAATATAAGTTCTTTTAATCTGTTAACCAAAGCAAGAATTTAGGCAGCCACCATGTAACTGTAAAGAAGCCCCATTGAAAAATGCAACCTAAAGTACAATGTTCATAAATATTTCACTGAAGTTGTAAGAAAACAGTCTGGCATTCACATTTAGCTTATCTGTACCAAGACACAGACAGCTGTACTATTTACCTACAAATGACTGGAAATGCTCTGTCAGTGCTGGGTATAGACCAAATGAAATATTTTAAGGGTAAGAAACAGTACCTTACCTTAACGTATTCCAACGTAGGATCCAGAATAGTCTTATCTCTGTAAGAAAATGGTACCAGGAGACAAGGAGAGACAGAAGAACAAACAAAAAAAAGGTAAGTCCAAATACAACCTCATACTGAAAATATGCATTAATATGAGCAATATGCTACTAGGTCACATTAAAATCTTTGTTAAAACTTGTATGTTAAAGCTTGATAGCCTGTGCTATCTAATTTTTAACAAACATATAAATCACTGGTTTCTTCTAGAAGGAAATGTAGTGGAGCCAATAGTACTTAATTTGAGAAATAAAATTAATTATTCCATTTTAAGCAAATAAAAATTTTGAACATTTCAACAGATGGCTGCAATACTTACTTGCCACCTAAAATATCTGAAATAAATTTAAAAGAGAGCTCTCCAAATGGCTTTTGAATTTATTTCTTCGCTTTTATGTTTTCCCATTTAAGCTACTGCCTCTGATAGCACTGGGAGGGCACTGCTTACAGGAAGTAGAAAGTACTACATTCAATTTCTATATATACAAGGAAGTTCTCAAAATAATCATAATTTCAGCATCACAATTATTTGAATGTCAGATAATCAAGTTATTGCCCTAATCTAAAAATAGAAATCTCATCATAGGTTTTCTATACAGACAGATGGCAAGGGGCAAAGAAGCCTAACTGAAGAGCCTTGCACTGTTACAACTCTTTCCATAAAATATATGTTTATTTTTATTTCTATTTCAAAGCATTTTGTATATTTTGTTTTTATTTGAGAACTAGCAGATTAACAGAGTTTGTAGTACATGACTGTATGTTTTCTGAGAACCTGGGATGACACACATGGTACTGCCCTTAACTAACAAACATGTAACAGGCACAATGAAAACTGTGTAAACTTAGAGAGGGATTGGGCGCTTGTTATGGCAATGAAGATTTCCCCAGGGACAACAGATCTTTATAAATTTAGAAACAGGATCCTTTTTGGTGGAAACTGTTGCAAAGATGTAACACTAGAAATGCAATAAGCAGCTTCAAAAATCTTGAATTTGGGTTGCACTGGAATTAATCAATCAGAAAACAGTCTCTGAATTCCCCATGTTGTTTAGAATGTAACTGCATATGATCTAAAACCGTGTTATCATTTGATACTCAATTTTTAGTTTGGTTCCCTAACAGCTATTAATCCAGAATACTGAACTTTCCCCACAAAATAAGGGTGCTCAACTGTTTGGGCTGTATCAAGTGCTGCTGTTTCATATTAGCTCAGTATTTACATCAAGGGTCAAACTGCATTCTCAACTGATGTTTTAAAGAATAAAATGCTGGACTCAATGTAAATAGAATTTGAAACTTTTTCCTATGCAATATATAAAGAAGGATCAGCTTGACAACTGTATGAGCATAAGCATGTATCAGCATAGCAGAGAACACAGGGGTGAAGCACAGAGGAAAAAAGAAAAGAAAGCTTTGAAACAGAAGAGACGTTTTCCTTCTCAATACCTATCAATTTGACTGGGAAAACAAATCCCATTTTTAATCGGTTCAGCAAAGTCATTAAGCATGCCTGATTTCTTCTCACATTCAAATGATCTGTGGGAAGTTGTTCCAGTACCAAATGCTACTGAAAAACATTTCAATTCAGTTCTTCACTTGCCTGTGGAATCTTTCAGGACAAAGGGTCTACCAGCACAGCATGTGCAACACACTCTGAAAGAACAAACGCGCTTACTCTGGCAGCAAACGTGTCTTGTGATGGTCTGCACTCCAGCAGACCAGCCTTCCTACAGACTCCACTGTTCCCACCTTCTGCTATCAGGCAAATGTTCTTTAGGACAGATCAAGCCAAAGCAAAATGGAAGAGGTAGAAAAGCTTCAAGACAAAACAGTTTATTTACTGGTATATAAAGCAGGATATCCAGACGAGAGCAGAGGAAGTAGTGACCTGCATTCCTTTCAGCATCCATGTGATAGAAGTGCTTAGAAAATGTTTGGCTTTGGGAAATGGACAGTGTAACAAGTATCTTTGCAAGTACTGTAGTATTTTATCTGGTAAGCTGACCCACAGCAAAATGTACAAAACTCTGCAATTTATCCTAAGTCATACAGAAAGATGTTTATGTTGGAGCACTGTTCATCTCAGATACCTCTCTCCAAGCTGTTCTACTCCCTCTTCCCTCATTTTCCCTTGTTCACCTTTGTGCAAATTTTTTGAAGTTATTTTCAAGGAATGGTAACTTTCATTGATGTGCAGTAACTATTAGTAAAGATTAACTACTGCGTTTTCCTGTCATCTGACTCCACCCCAATATTATCACATTACATACAGAAAACCAGATGAAGCAGTTAGCCCAAATAACTAGAAGGCAACCAAATAAAATGAACTCCTCAATCTCAGTTCTCTGTTAGCAATAATGTTTCTTTATGCCATAGGCTACCAGTGAAGGAAATCTATGTTGTCATGGAATTAAGAAAACTATAAAGTATGCTTTTTCTTTCCATTTTACCTCTCAAAGAATCTTAAAAAATTATGAACCCACATTCTCATTTATTATATTACAAGATCTGTAGAAAAAAATTAATACTTTCAGATGACTAACAGATCAGACAAAAGATAGTAGCAGGTTCTGCCATCTCTCAGAATTGATTTAACTGAAGGTTGGTTTCAATAATATTTTCTTATCTTTTATCAGATTTTATTACCTTTCAAATAATGCTAATGTTTGTCTTCATAAAAAGTTTGACTTTATGGCTATATTCATTTGCACCTGTTTACCTACAACATTTATGTATTAGAGTCTGCACATAAGTCAACCAGTGCTGTGTAAACTGTGGGCTCACACTTTTATTATTATTGGATTATGCATTTTGGTTTCCTAATAATCAGATAAGATCTACTTCCACTCAGATATAAAGCATACTTAATGCAGCATGATGTCCCTGGAACAGAGAAGTCTTCAGAAGACCTCAAGCTGAGGTAAGTATGCAGTAGGACACACAGTATTGGCTTAATGCTCTTTCCATACCCATTCTGTCACAGAAAGTAGTTTAAGAGAGGGATGCAAACAGACTCCCACATCTATTTTGAGTATTGCTATTGCTGTTACCTCTTGCTATCACCTGATTTTGTGACAAAACAAAATCCCTTTCCAGCATGTTTTTACTCGCTGGAACAAAAAAGAAAAAAAAAAACACCTGACTTGCATGTAATGAAGCCATTCTCCTGAGCAAATCCTCTGTTGCCTCCTCCACACACACAAGGTCTGTGTGGAAACTATAGAAGCAAAACACTACTCCAGTAATATCTGTCCAGAATCTTAGCCCTCATGATTCTGATGCTTTTCCTAGCCAGAAACACATTCTCTCCAGAGACTGACATCTGAAAACCCCTTTTTCAATGCTGGCTGATCTTGCAGACATACAACCCTTTAATCTGTCCCTGGTAGTCCTTGGAAATTATCTCAATTTCTTTTCACTTCAGTTTCAAGATTCCTATCAAGATTCTTATGTGCTTTTTTTTTCTTCACATATGGGTTTCTTGCTGTTACAGCCAAGAAAATACACAGAGCTCGCAAACAAGTGTGGTGCTTCAGCAAATCCAAAAAAAGATGAAGGCAAGACATCAAAAAATGTGAAGTTGCTCTTTTGCTTACCTGTTCTCCCCATAGCAACATTTTCTGCAACAATGAAGAGTTTGGTGTCACACTGGTTGGCATTGACTATGAGCAAGGAGTGATACATCTGACCACTATGAGAAACAACATAACTTCTCAGAAAATAGGAATTATCATTGTATGAGGACCTCTTCAAAATATAACTAGAGCTGACCAAGATGAGAAAAAGAGATGGAATTCAGCTGTTACTGGATGCTATTTCTCTACTTCCCAACACATCTGAACAACAGCCAAATGTGTGGGGAGAATTAAAATATATATTAAAAAAAAAGCTCTTTTGAAGTTGTCACCATGAACGGTCACTGGCTAAAATGAAGGAAAAAAAAATCACTATAAGCAACTTGAATCATAGTTCTGGTATGACAAACTAAATACTGTCATACTGCCAGTTTCAAATTCTGCATAGATTTAAAGACAATGAGCAACCAAATACAAAAACTGGGTAAAGAAAACCTTAACATCCTGGTAGCTAGTCACTCTTCTAAAATATTTGATAGCCTATGCTTACATACTGACAATTAATGCTGGAATTGAAAAGCTGAATCCTGTTGTTCAATCCCAACATCCATTGTTTAGTTTAGTGAGTGCCAGAGAATAGCCAGAATCTCAGTAACTCGGACATCATCTGTTTTTTACTCTGCAGTTTGTCCAATAGTTCTCTACAGGACTGCTTCAATAAAAAAATCTTTAAGCAGATATGCTGTAATCTTTAGCTGTTTGATTCTATGAAAACCTCCACCATTCTAACATTGTACATTACTTCCTCTCATCCTTGGTGCTATGAAAAATCCTGCAGACCTTTACATGCTAAGCCATATGAAGCATCTGCATTTTCCAGGCCCCTGGCATCCTCACAGAACAATCAGCTACAATTATAAACTAGCTGTGATAACTTTAACAAAATTTAAGTGCAGATACAACAGTATCATCAAGTTGCCCAAATCATCCCTATCATTCAACTCCCATATAAATAGTCTTACAGTGGTGGAAACTGCTGTTTGGCCTGGAGTCAACTTTGTGCTACTTCACACTTTCATAACTGTTCCTGTGGGAAAAACATTGGGACACATTGCTAGTATTTGATGTATGAAAAAATATTTGTGTGTTCATTTTAAAGTGACTTTTCCTAGGGACATTTTCAAAAACATTCTCCTTCCTACCTTATTGAAAGAGAAATAATGAGAACTATCTTCTCAATAGTTCCAACACCAATGGTGCCAATGCCAAATCTGAGTAAAGACAATAGAGGCTCAAAAGGAGCCCAAGACCCTGAAAATCTATCAAGCTGTCTGCTAACGTAGAGAGAACTGCTGTAAAACGACCAGATAGATCACATGCCTTCTTCAGTTTTTCAGTTTGTGTCTTTGAAATCTCTCCA